GACGAATGTTGTGGGAAGACAGGCCATTTCAAAAAGAGAATGTCCAGAGATAAAGAAGCGAAGGAAAAATGATTCCCCTCATGAAACTAGAAATCAACTTTTGAATCTTTTTTAACAGTACCTAATTGTAAGATTGGGTTAGGATTCTGGAGGGCAAAGAGTAGATAGAGGTAAACATGAGCACTTAACAACAACAACAATACTATTAAGGAGTCCTGGTGTGACACTGTAGGATAAACACTGGACTGCAAAGTAGGATTTGAATAGCAAGGCTGATGGTTCTAACTCATCAGGCACTCCTCGGAAACCCTATACAGGATCTTTATGAGTCGCCACCGACTCCATGAGCAACAAGAATGCCCTTTAAAGAGTTCTGGTGTGGCACTGTAGGATAAGTACTGGACTGCTAACCACAAACTTCAAACCTTGGAAACCTTATACAGGGGCACTAGGAGTGAGATGGACTCCACGGCACTTAACAACAGCAGTGCCTTTAAAGGTATGTTGCTGTTGTTAAGTGCTGTCAAAGTCAACTCCGACTCAGGCCCCTGTATAGGGTTTCTGAGGAGCAGATGGTGGGTGTGAACTGCTGACCACAAGGTTCAAACTGACCTTGCAGTCCAGTGCATATCTTATAGTGCCACACCAGGACTCCTATATTCTGGGATAGCAGTTTAAAAACTACCAGGAATTACCTGGGTAGTGAAGTGCAGTTTGAGGGGTATGTAGAGCAGACAAGCTCTAGTGGCTAACACTCTGCTTATCTGGGCTCTTTCTAAACTGTGGGATGTGTACCTTTGGTGTCAAAGAGATTTTCATAGGATATCAGGTTTCAGTTTGCTACAAAAAAGTAAACAACTTGGGTCCAATACACAGAGGTCATCTTTGGCTCATTACCAAGTACATATTTCACAAGGTAGTTTTTGAAGATTAAATTTATCACTAAAAGTATGTAAGTGTTCAGCACCTAGCTGTGTGTTAACTTAGAGAAAAATAAAATACAATGATTAAATGATGAAATAAAAAACTACCAGGAATTAGCGGACAGATTATAAGTAAATGGAAGAAAACAAGTAGCAGAGACATGCAAATGTTGACACAATGTGAAGAATGTGCCCAATGTCACTGGTCACAGTGACTAGACACATGAATGGGGGAAGGTTTTGCTGTGTATCTTTTCACCAAAAATAATTAATTAAAAACAACAACAACAGCAAGTGACCAGGAATTAATCAATGCTGATTGTCATAAAATAAATCTTACCAATGTAGGTGATAATTTTTCTTTAATTTATATAGTTTTCAAGTATTTAATCTAAGTCTTCTATAAGATTAATGTATTAAGAAAAATTTTATTAGTTCTATGATTTAAGATGAAAATAAAGATGTCACAACAACATTCACTATAATTTTCAATTATGAAAAGGCATTTGAATTGGAAAGTTTATTTTTTATACCAGTGACCTCATTGTATCATGAGGAAGGAGGATGTTAATAACCATTGAAAATAAGACCAAAAAAGGAAGTCAGAGGTAAAAATTACTTACTTACCATATGTAACTCTTTATTGATGCCCAGGTACTTTCCATTTCCACATCCAATGTCAGCCACTATCGAACCACTTGGCAAAGCTTTTAGAAACTCCACGATGTGTGGCCACGGGGTATGTCTTGTGCTGCTGAAATGGCCAGCGATCTCTTCATAGACTCGGTGGACATACTCCTGCTCCAGGAGTGAGGCTTCCTTTTCACTTTCTGGGAATGAAGGGGGAGTTTCTTTTCTCTGGCTGTCACAGACTAAAGGGTAACCTAAATGAAAAAATAAGGCAATATAAACCTTTCACTTTTATACAAATGCGACTTAAGGAATATGTTATTGTTGTTGTTGTTGTTAGGTGCCATCGAGTTGGTACCGACCCATAGCGACCTTATGCACAGCAGAACGAAATCCTGGGCCAACCTCACTACTGTTGCCATGCTTGAGTCCATCAATGCTGCCACCTGTCCAATCCATCTCGTTGGGGGTCTTCCTCTTTGTCTCTGACCTTCCACCTTACCAACCATGATATCCTTCTCCAGTAACTGGTCCCTCCTGACAATACGTCTGAAGTATGAGAGACGAAGTTTAGCCATCTTGGCCTCCAAGGAGCACTCTGGCTGCACTTCTTCCAAAATGGATCTACTGGTTGTTTTGGCAGCCCATGGCACTTTCAATATTCTCCTCCAACACCATAACTCAAATGCATCAATTATTCTACAGTTTTCCTTATTCATGGTCCAGCTTTCACATGCATATGAGGTTACTGAAAATACCATGGCTTGGGTCAGGTGCACCTTAGTCCTCAAGCTGACATCTTTGCTTTTCAACACTTTAAAAAGGTCTTGTGCAGCAGATTTGCCTAATGCAATACGTCGTTTGATCTCTTGACTGCTGCTTCCATGAGTGTTGATAGTTGATTCAAGAAGAATAATGTCCTTGACAACTTCAATCTTTTCTCCATTGATAAGAATGTTGTTTATTGGTCCAGTGGTGAGGATTTTTTTGTTTTTTTTTACATTGAGATGTAATCCATACCAAAGGCAGTGTGTTCTTTGATCTTCATCAGTAAATGTTCTAAGTCCTCTTCACTTTCAGCAAACAAGGTTATATTATCTGCATATTGTAGGTTGTTAATGAGTCTTCCTCCAATTCTGATGCCATGTTTTTCTTCACATAACCCAGCTTCTTGGATTATTTCCTCAGCATACAGGTTGAATAAGTATGGTGAAAGAATACAACCTTGTCGCACACCTTTATAGTTTCCTTAAAATAGATTCTGGTGACTGAGGGAAACAGGCTCCGATTTATCTGCTGCAATTCTGTAACTGCCTAAATTGAAAATGTCTATTTCATTTTGGGATTAAAAAACCAAAATCAAACCAGTTGCTATTGAGCTAATTTCAACTCATGTGACCACAATGTATGTTAGCGGAGAACTGTGCTCCAAAGGATTTTCAACGGCCAATCTTTCAGAAGCAGATTGCCAGGACTTTCTTTTGAAGCACCTGAATAAATTCAAATGGCCAAACATATGGTTAGTAGCCTAACCTAAAAGATGACAATTCAAACTCACTCAGTAGCTTTGCAGAAGAAAGCCCTAACTGCTCCTGTAAAAATTACAGCTAAGAAAACCCAATAGAATGGTTGTGCTTTGCAACACATGGGGTCGTTACATGCTGGAACTGACTACAGCAGTAGATCTGTGTTTTTACTTTGCCTACAAGTTTTGACCAAAAGTAACCAATGAACCTAAATTAAAACAAAAAACAAACAAACAAAAAAATAGCAATAAAACTAAATGCCTAATCAAAGCTTCTTACAGCATCCCTTACATTTAACAAATGACCATAAAATTTACATAAGAAAAAGAACCTAGTTTGTCTATGCAAATACTTTGTAAATTTCCTGAGAACTGTTGTTGTTAAGTGCCTTGGAGTTAATTCTGACTCACAGTGACTCTGTACAGTTTCAGAGGAGCAGCTGGTGGGTTTGAACCTTGTGGATCCCAGTCCAGTGTTTATCCAACAGTGCCACACCAGTAGTCCTTCTTGAGACTAGACTCAAGTTTCATTTTTCTGTTACTGACAATGTTAGATATTCATCAAAGACTAAATAAGCATTGTAGGATAAGCACTTGACCGTAAGGTTGGTTTGAACCACAAGGCCCGCAGTTCAAATTCACCAGCAAAACCTCTACAGAGTTTTTATGAGTCAGAATTAACTCAATGGCACTTAAAAACAACTAATTTCTTTTTAGCAAAAGAAACAAAAATCTGTTTTAAACTCTACTGTCGTCAAGATATCAAATATCACATTTTCTAACTGGATAACACATTGTAGATATAATACGGATTTTTAGTTTAAAACATTTTTAAGATAAGAACTAAATCAAGAAGCTTATTGCTAAATACCGTCCATGATTGAAACTCCAGGATATAAAAAGGGCCTTACCATCACTGTCATGATAAAATATTATTTATAAAATGAAAGAGAGTTTTGTTAATTGAGTCCAAGTAATCCAGATCATGATGTATTTGTAAAGATGATTCAAAAATAGCATCCTCTTGACAAGGTTTGGGTACTTCTTTTATTAGGTTTTAGGTTTCCAAACTGACTAGAACATACACCATTGTTTATTCTCTTAGCGTTACTAACAATTTATTATCTCTAACTTCTCTGCTGGGTTAACAAGAAGTAATTTTGATAGTTATTTCCAAAAAACCTATTTTTGTATAAGTGATGCTTCTTTGTCCTACAGCTACAGTACTCTTAACTGGGACCTCAATACCTAAAGTATTAAGATCATTAAATATAGTCAAGTACTAAGTAAGGTTACAGGAGGAAATAAAGATACATAAGATGTAGCCCCCGTCTTCAAGGAGTATAAACTCTAATGGAGGTGGTTTAGTATATAAGCACAATACAGCCAAACAGGGGCAATTCCATTAGAGAAGCTAAAGGCAAGTTCCCCTTAGTTTCAACAGGACTTCAAAGACTTTTCAAACTACACTGATTCCACTTTGCAGTAAAAACAAAGTTATATACTTACTACAATCACAAGCTGTTTGCTTCACCTTCCTAAATGTAAACGATGTCCGCATTCCTCTCTTGTGTAAAGTTAAGTCTCCAACATCACTGAGGATAATTCCACTTTTATGACCCGCAGATGCTTGAACAGTATCAAATTTTCTAGGTGTGATCCTAAAATCAACAGTCAAAATAATTTATTTAATAATATACTCACAAAAATATTTCAGGCCTTTATAAAATATTATGGGATTCAACAAATCTTGAAGAATGTATTGTAAATATTGACTAGGATTGCTTGAATTGTTAGACAAATGTGGAGAGAGTAAAGAAAGAAAAGTTTATGCTTTTAGGAAAGTTATATTCTAGTGTACTAATATTAAAATAATGTATAACTAACAAGTTATTCAAGGAGAAAATAGAATAATAACAAATATTTTATTAATACAAATTCCAAGGTGGGAAAAACAGCTGGGGTAAAGTGAACACAATTAAATGGTGAATAAAAATCCAGTATCAGTAGCTACATTAACTTTAAGTACTAAAGACTGAATAAAGAACAAACACTGGTAGAATATATGTAAATAAAATCCAAATATTTGCTGATTATGACAGAATGTTGAAAATAAAAAGACAGAAAAAGCCACAACTACTTTGCATATACCAAGCAAAACCAAAGCGGAAGTGGTATAGCTATACTAATCAAATTAGGTATTAATGCAAAAAGTATTACTAAAAATAAAAGGGAATATTTCATAATGATAACAGACACTCCAACAGAAATATATAAGAATCCTATATAGTTCTGTATACACCTAACTAATAAAAGGAGTCCTGGTGGGGTGCTATACAATGAATGGTGGTGGTGGTGGTTGTGTACCGTGGTTCCGACTCACAGTGACCCTGCACAGGGTTTCTAAGGCTGTAAATCCTTACAGGAGCAGACAGCTCATCTTTTTTCCTGCAGAATGGCTGGTAGGTTTGAACTGCTGACTTTGAGGGTTAGCAACCTCACTTGTAATCACTACACTACCAGAGCCCCTTACACTGGACTGCTAACTGCAAGATTAGTGGTTCAACCCCACCAACTGCTCCTTGGGAACTGATTTTATGGCATTCAACAGCAATAACTAATAAAACAGCCTCAAAATACACAGAGCACAAATTGAAAAAATTCTAAAAAAAAGAATGAGACAAATAGAGGGGGTTTCAAAATGTTCGTGGGAAACTTCCACTCACTACCTTTTAATTCCATTTTACCATGAAAATTTTGAAGCCACCTCATATACAATTATCAATCGAGTATACAACACATCTTTCTCAATAATGAAAATCCAGTTGAGGAGTAAGGGCTTCAACATCAGGAAACAATAGAGAATGGAATAAAAAGGTGTATAATTAACTCTTACGTTTAGAAATACAAATACAATAAGCAAAAGAAAGACTGAAAAATTAAAAAGGAGAGGCACTGCCATTGTGGATTATGGGAAGCTTTAAAAAAGAAATCCTTAGACCAAGATCAACTTTTTGAATGGGAAAAAGGAATTACTTTGTAATTCTTCCTATCCAACTCTGGATTTGCTTTTTATTTGACAGAACATTTCTACTACCCAAGTAAATTACATTGTGCCTCCCTTACAGTCCATCTGCCCCACCTTGAAGCAATCCCTGTTCCAATTGCTACCAGTATAGTTTTACCTGTTCTAGAACTTCATATATAGTTCATACTACTTTGTGTCTGGCTTTGCCAATTAAACACTGCAATTTTGAGATGCATTCTTGTTGTGTGTGTTAGATCATTCACTTTTTACTGCTGAGTAACAGCCCTGGTGGCATAGTGGGTTACAAGGTGGGCTGCTAATGGCAAGGTCAACAGATTGAACCCACCCGCCACTCTGTGAGCTAAAGATGAGAATTTCTGCTCCCATAAAGATTTACAGCCTCTGAAACCTTATACAGTGTCACTACAAGTCAGAACTGACTCGATGGCACACAACCACCACCATCAATATTGCAGTGTATGAGCATATTACCATTTGCTTATCCAAAATCTCCTGCTGACAGACATTGTAGTGTTCCCAATTTGGGACAAATATAAATAAAGCAGCTGTGACCATTAACTTATACTTTTTAAGACAAATCAGTTCTTCGACATAAACTACCATATATATGTAAGTTTTGCTGGTATTGCTTTTCTAAAGAATCCAGCCTAAGACAGCTTCCAAGGGAATCTTGGAAGTTAAATTCAAGGCAAAGAGGTCAGCTCAAAAGGCTATGCTGATTGTTTAATGGGATTGCAAAGGAATAATCTTGACAGATTTTCTCAAAGAATCCAGTACAATAAGGGAGCTTATTAGGAAGAAGTTTTAAGAAAATGGAAAACTGCATTGGTAAAAAAAAGATCAATAACGTTGTACCAAGGATTTTTTTCTATCATGACAAGGCACCTACTCACTCTTCAAGAATAGCAAGGGCTATCCTACAAGAATTTCTTGATACATGTGAGCTATGGTGTTGGAGAAGAATACTAAAAGTACCATGGACTGCTAGAAAAACAAACAACTCTGT